TACCATTCCCTCCTTTGGATTTTATTACTTACAATCCTTGGATCACACAGGCCGGAGTGTTTCCTCCAGCTATTTTCATTTCACTTTTGCTTACAATGCATTATATTATTGAATTAATTTTTTTAACTTGCTTTTCCTTCTCTTGTTCATTTGCTCAGCCACACTGGGATTGTCATCTACTGAGGTATGTTACAGTAAGAAGGCTGGAGTTTACATAGATATGGTTTTTGAAGGATTTTTTCCAACCAAAAATCATTTAGAGGATTATCACCTTAAAAAATCATTTTTAAAGGTTTCACGTTTTCTAGTGGCAACAGTGTGTTTTCTGGGTGAGTTCTAATAATAGTATTTCACTAAGCGAATGCAAGTAAGCACGGTCTTAAATTGGATGGTAGAATCTTGAATCCAGTACCTTTTAAAATTGGATACCTGGATAGAGGCTTCCAAGGCTGAGCTTTGGAATACTCGAATGGGGGAAAGCATTGTCCTGCACATGGGTGTATCTGTGAGAATATTAGCTGGCTGTCCACACAGCAGAATTATGCTCGTTCAAAATGAAAGCTATCTGATAGTCATGAGCACTGAGTAAGGCTGGATTGCTGTGATTCTGGTCCTTGATGACATTTCTCAGTGGCGCTGACCACAGTTGCTTTCGAGTGACGTTTCTGACGCTCCTTCCCTCTGGGTCCCCACAGGATGAGGGCGAGGACCCCTGGTACCACAAAGCTTGCAAGTGTAATGGCCAAGGTGGTGACCATGCTCTGTGGTCTGCAGGAACCATCTCCTTAGAATGCATGCCAGGTAAGTATCCCCGATCCTTGGGTCACCGAATCTCAACAGTCCTTGGGGACACTCTGCTTCTCTTTTCAAGGCTCTTCTATGGTTTTCTCTAGTTTTCTGCTATGACCTCCAATCTGAAAAGTCCACCATGGCCACTGGGTCCACAAACTGTACCGATGGCACTGTTCAGAAGCAGGTTCCTGGCCCTTTACTTGGCCTGGGTGAGCTAGGAAGCTGGGCTCAAACATTCCATAGATTAGCTTCATGAACATTAGTAAAACTGAGGCCCAGGTTGTGATCCTGGTGGTGTCCCTCATTCATTCCAGACCTCCTGTTTTCTTCTGTCAAATCGTGGTGTGTGGACTGCACCTGGATATCTAAGACACAGCAAATATCCAGGTGCCAAGAGCCCGGCTGGTGTAGTGGTTACAGGTTGGGCTATGATCTGCAAGGTCCACAGTTCAACACCTCCAGCCATTCCTCGGGAGCAAGATGGGGCTTTCTACTCCTGTCAACAGTCAGCCTTAGAAACTCACATGGGGACAGTTCTATCCTGTCCTATAGACTTGCTATGAGTCAGCATCAATTCAATGGCAGTGAGTTGAGTTTTGAGTACCCAGAAACTTCAACTAAACTAAACGGCACATGGTTAGCTAAGCAATTCCTGGGAAGGTTGACATGCGCTCTGGCCAAAAGGGAAAGGGTAGGCCAACAGACCACACTTTGCTATAGGAGGTGTTCGGTGTCAAGATGCCCCAGAAAGGAAGTCAGTCCACACTCTCCTCTCATCCACCAGGCCAGGGCAACACATAAGCACAAAGTCCATTCATGGGTCACAAGGAAAACTGACAGTCAGTCCTCAGACGCCCCTTTCCACAAGTAGTCACTGTTATTTCTAGACTTGCTGGGGGAATCAAATCCAATCATTCAGTTGTTCTCTACCTGATTGTATAGGGTCCTGGTAGCGCTGTTGGGTAAGCATTGGATTGTTTACCACAAGGTCAGTGGTCAAGATTTTTGTTTTAATAGTTTTATTAGGGGCTCATATAACTCTTACCACAATCCATATCAATTTTGTAAAGCACATCTGTACATTCATTGCCCTCATCATTCTCAAAACATTTGCTCTCCATCTAAGCCCC